GGACTGAGCCAAAAGAACCACAGAAAAACGGAACCAGAACCTAATGATATGAAGAAGCTCTGGATCAAACTACACCTGAATCCCCACTCAGCCCCTAGGCTTTTCTGACACAGGAAGCAATACATTCTCTCTATTGTCTAAGCCAGTTGGATAGGAGATGTTTGTGTGCTTGTAGTGGAAGCTCCCCACAAACACAGAGCCCCTCCCCCTCTCTGACAACTGGCTCCTTGTCTCTGTGAGGCTCAGTCTTAGAAAACAAAGGCCTATTAATTCTGCCTAGGAGTTAGGGAAGCCCTGACTTTTTTCTACCCAAGGTTTGATTGCTTTGGCGTGAGTTGGGATGGTGGGCGAAGGAGAGAGAAAAATGCCTCCCCATCTTGTGAGCTTCCTGTAGCAGCGTGGGCAAGTCAGATATTAATATCTCACTGAATTATCTCACCATATTTGTTTCAGCTGAAAAATTAGAAACAGTTCAATTGCCCATCAATAGGGTAACTACTCATGGTCCATCCTCAGCAGCCTTTAGAAACATGGAGGAAATGGTACGTGTACTGCCATGAAAGGCACCCCAAGTATATCATTTATTGAAAAAAACAGGTTGAAGAACAGGACGAGTAGTATAATCCCACTTCTGCATGCTAAAATTATAAGTATAGGGGTCTACCTGAATAGAAAAAGTTCTAGAAAGAAGATCACTTTATACAACAATTTTTTTATTATCTCTGGAGGCTGGGATTCTTGAAGGATTAGCATTTTCTATTTTTTTCCATTTCTTTATTGAGTTTTTATGGCCCTGGCATCTGGTCTATAGTTCCCTCTTTCCTTCTGTGGTGGTACCTGGAGGCCTTACAGGAGCTCTTATTGCCTGAGCGTGCAGTTCAACATCTCCACTGCTCCCAGAAACTCCAGGCCTGGCCTGTTCGTAGATCCATACAAGACACCTCCAGGATGGGCAGGACAATCAGATCAGTGCTGAGTTTTCAATTGTTCTTACCCTGGTGTATGGTGCCAAGCAGAGAGTGATAGGGAAGCACGCCAGGGCTGAGCAGTGACCTGCTGTTCGATTTTGTTGGAGGGAGACATTGGCTTGGTTAGTAGGCTGAATAAGGATCCTCGAAGATATCAGATCCTCATCCCTTGAAAACTATAGATATTACCTTCTATGGAAAAAAGTTCTTAGCAGACGTAAGGTTAAGCTGGGGCTCCTGACACGGAGGGATGCTTTTGGATTATCCAGATAGGTTCTAAATGCAATCACAAGTGTCCTTACATGAGAGAGGCAGAGGGAAATTTGACACAGATAGAAGAGGAGAAGGCAATGTGACCTGGAGTGATGCAGCCACAAACCAAGGAATGCCAGCAGCCATGAGGAGCTACAAGAGGCAAAGAACAGATTCTCTCTTAAAGTCTCTGGAGGGAGGATAGCCCTACGGACACCTTGATTTGGGCCCAGTGATACTGATTTTGGACTTCTGGCCTCCAGGACTATAAGAGAATAAATTTCTGTTGTTTTAAACCACCAAGTTCATGATGATTTGTTACAGTAGCCATAGGAAACTAACATAGCTTTAGAAAGTGAGGCATAAGTGTAGCTCTACAAAATACTCTTCGCTGCTGATATGCCTGCCTAATTAGACACCGCTGAGGCTGAAAAGAAAAGAAGGTTGCTTTCTCTGGATACCCTTGAGAGAGTCCCAGAGACATCTAAGGGGCTCTGGCACTTGGGATGAGGAATCGTGGGGTTCTGTGGAGCCCACCCTTGGCTCTCTACTAGGACTCAGCTGGGGTGGGAGGCCAGAGGGTTTGCCTAGCAACCACAGAAGCATAGCAAGACACCCCACTGTGCCCTGGTTTCTCTTCAGAGCCCCTGTGTGTCTGTATTGTTAGAGTGCAGAGGCTATTAAAAATGTAACAAACATCAACCCTCTGCTCAAAATAACTTCCCACTTTCTAAAAATGGAATTTACCCAGTAGTAACATTTCTCACTCCCACAATAGTAAAATTTCTCACCCCCTCGTGTTCTGTGGGTTTGTGACTGGCCCAAGAGGGAACTACTATTAATGGCAATTTCCACCTGATGTAACACCCTTGATGACCCATCTGCCCATGGAGGGTGACAGTCCCTTGCATAACAGGCCTCTTCCCTTCCTCCCATGGAACCTCTCTAAGGGCATTTCGGTTTTGCTTGCTCTGCTATCCATAGTCTCTCTTGGGACATAAAATAATGACAGTAAGATAATTGTAATAATAAATCAACTGCTTATGTAACTCTTACAATGTGTCAGGCATTGTCTTAAGCACCTTACTTGTATTAACTCATATATTTCTCATGACTATCTTATGTAGTAAGTACTATATTACTGTCCTCATTTTATTGATGAGAAAACTGAGGCACAGAGAGGTTAAGAACTTGCCCAAGGTCACACAGTTATCAGGTAGCTGAGCTGGGGTTTGAACCCAGGATGAAGGGCTCCAGGATGTGTACTCTCCCCTCCTATAGAATGCTGCTGGCTGGAGCCAGCTGGGGAGGCTAATCTGGCCAGTGGCCAAGGCCTTTTCTCTGGGCAAAGTGAGCTGTCTTGGGCAGGACTTAGGCTGAGACTTGGGGCTCACCAGCAGGGGAGCCATCCAGCTTTCTCACAGTCAGGGCCGCAGTGGCGTGTAGAGGCCAGCGCTCCCCATACTCTCTACCTTGGTGTCATCCATCTTCTCTTCCTGTTTGGGGCTTTGCAAAGGCTGTGACCTTGAGCAGGGAGGTGAAGAGGACCAGTGCCCACACTGGCTGCACCCACACAGGGCCAGCCTGGCTGGTTGAGATGAACAGAGCTTAGAACTTGAGTGAGGAGACCTGGCCCCCAGTCCTGGCTCTCCCAGGTTTGAGATGAGGCATTACTCTCTCTGCATCCCAGACTTCCCCTCTCTAAGCCAAGGGATTAGACGTGCTTTGATATGGGAAATCCCCTCATAAATGCATAACTGCTCTACAATCCAAGTTGGTTTCCTGGGTTTCCTGAGAGAGGCAGCAAGCACTAAACAGCAAAATCCAACCCTCGTGTTCTGCAACTCATGTGCTATCACCTCTCCCCTAGACTCTGTTCCCTCACTAGCTAAACAGGGGTTAAAAATGACCCATCTCAGAGTCGTCGCCCACCTTAAAAAGACAGGGCACCAGGCAGTGGGAAACTCCTCCGAAGGTTGGAGCCCTGCCCCCTGGGACCCGCCAGAGAGTGGTGGGTGCTGGGATCCTTGGGAGATGAAACCAGCCGAGAGGGTTGCAAACTGGACAGGCCTGACATTTTTTTGCCCTGCAAAAATAGCACATAAAAAACCTTCTGAGTGCCTTGGGAAGGAGAGGATGGGCCCCCCTCTTTAGTTCTCTCCCTACAGAGCCCACCCTCCCCACTGTCTTAGGCAGGACTGCTTCATACACTTTGTAACTGGCTGGGTACAGCAGGCCAACGAGTTGGCCTTCAGAGAATCCAGACCAGAGGGTTTGGATGTCCCAGGGCGGCAGCAGATGCTGCTCCCATCCTCAGCCCCATCCGGGTCTTGGCAGAGCCCAAGTGGGTGTGTTGTGAGGGAAATTGATCTGACCTCATCGCTCTCCCCTCACCCCCACCCACTACCCCAGAGACCAGGGCTCCAAGTCCAGCCCCGGCAGGTCTGCTGCCTCCTCTCCTCTGTCCTGGAGTCCCTGAGCTCCTCTTTCCCCAGAGAGGGTCAGGGCAGAGGGAAGCAGCGTTCCTGCTGGGCCCATAGAGGAGGCTGAGGGCTGAGTGCACCCTGGCCAGCAGCCCAGGAAGCCTGAGCATGTAATGAAAAGATGTATCTTCTTGGGGTTGCTTCTGGGGATAAGAGCTCCCGGTGTTGTCCTCGTCCTGTGACCTCTGTCTGGGCACAGACCTGCTGTCTGGCTCTGACTGTCCCTTTAGGCAGGGTGGGCAGATCCATTTCAGCTGGTTCTGAGCACGGAGAGGACGGACTCCCCTTCTCTCCTCCAGGCCTCCTAATAGCCACCCCACAGGGTGATGGACATGCCTCCCACCCCCATGCATCTTTGCTGTTGGTAAAGTACAGACGCATCCATTCTGCCAGGATGTCTACACAGAGCCACCCAGCCAGTCAGCGGTAAGCAGAGCCTCAGATGTAACTCTGCTGCGTGTTGTACCCCGTGTTCATCCCTTCTCCACCCTGACTACCCTGCTGGGAGGACCACGGGCTATGGGGTTTGAGGGGGGAGTGCAAGAGAAGAGTCCCGTCCCATAGCACTAGACAGTGTTTTTGAGGAACCCAGGTGGTCTTGGAACACTTTGGCCTTTGAAGTGAGACCATGAGGGGTCGAGTCATCATGGCCTCGGCAGCCCCAAACCGTCCCACAGGCCCAGAGCCACCTGCCAGGAGGAAGTGAGGCAGGTAAACGTGACCATTTGGGAAAAGGGACCAGCTTCTGGGGACACCAAGGGGAGGGTGGACAGAACAGGACAGAGGGAAAAGGTCAAGGGCTAGGAGTCTGGGCACCAGGGCAGTGGGGAGAATGTTTAAGGGGATGAACCGGGGGGCTGACCACGTGGCCCTGTCTTTCCTCTTCTCTGTGGCTGGTCAGGACCTGGGGGGGGGCGGGCATGTGCTTTCTGGGCCTGGTGGCCTGGGCATGGAAGCTGAGTGTGGCCATGAGTGGCGTGGGGAGAACAGTTAGGAGGTGTCAGTCAGGGCGGGGTGTCCCCACACTTCGTGGAAGAAGTCTATGATGTGTGCCCTGAGCAGCTGGGACCAGCGGGGCAGCCTTCCTGGCCTGGGTCACATGGCTCATCTTCCCCTAAGCAGGAGCAACCAGTTTGGCTGGAGAGCTGGGCAGGTGCAAAGGGCAGATGTGACGGGTGCAAGCGCGGTTGACGAGGCTGCCGTTCTTGAGGATGAGTCAGTTGCCTGCACCCTGTGCCAGCACCGGCAGCTTCCTGGGATTGCCATGAGGATTCAGGGAAGGGTGGGTGTGACGGAGAGGAGCTGGGAGGCGCTGGGGGAGGCTGTGGCTTGAGAGGCCCCAGGCCAGCCTTGGTTCCATCTCTGCTTGAACCCAGAAGGCCCAGGTTCGGGAGCCTCTGTCTGCACCGCGGCTGGGCAGCCCAGGTTAACCCCTCCAGTGCCAACTTTGTCATGCCCTGCCCCCTCCCCTGGGCCCTAGCCTCCAGGGGTACCCAGAGGCAGGACTGGGAGGTCAAGCTTTCATTTCCTTTCTCTCTCAGGTCAGCATAGCACTGGCTTCCGGCTCTCCCAGCCTGAGAGTCCTGGGGCCACTCTTGATCTTGACGCCACGTCCAGGAGCCAGCACCCTCCTCCAGACCTGCCTTTTCCAGTAGGCTCCACCTCTGTCAGGTGGCTCGGCAAAGAGATTAAATAACCAACCAGGATCAGCCGGCCTTCCCAGGAAGGTAGCTGAAGGCGTGGGCTCCGTCAGAGGAATGGAGTCTAACGGTAGGACCCAGGGGTGGGAGAGTGGGGAGCATGACCGTGCAGGCAGGGGCTGTCTGAGGCTCTGACACCCAGGAGGTCTGGACAGCAATCTGGGGAAGCCTCATGGGGCTCCATGGAGCTATCTTCTGAGGGTCCCACATGGGAGTGGGCTGGCTCTGTAGAGCAGAGGGCTGGGGTGTTGGCCTTGGGCTTGAGGGAGGGAGGGCAGGAGGACTGCTGGTGCCATTGTCTTTATTAAACACGGGGCCCCAAAGGTCAGAGTGAGCCCCTGGTTCAGGCTTGGCTGCCCCCCGGCTCCATCTGAGGGTGGGAGGGAGGTCTGAGGGACCTCTCTCGGGGCTCCCCCTTTCCTCTCTGGGGGTGGGGGTACAGGGACGAGGGTGAGGGTGGCTTTAGGGAGATTCCACAGACAGTGGAAAAAAAGGGCTGAGGTAGGAAAGATGACTGACTGCGTGAGCTGTCCCTTCCCTGAGTAAAGCAACCAGGAGTGGGTGGAGCCGAGGGGTTTGCTGAGTAGAGTCCTCACGGGGGAGGGCCAGAAACGAGGAGGACATGTGACCCTCGGGTGGCTTGAGGGCCAGTGAAGTCACTCTTTCTCCTGGCCTCAGCTTCTCCATTCTCTCAGGATGACAGGGTGCCCTCCTGATGCAAGTTCCTTCTTACTGACACAAGACCAGTCACCCTGGACAGCCAACCTTCCTTCCTTCCTTCCTTCCTTCTCTCCCACCTTCCTTCCTTCCATAAACAGCCACTGAGGAGAATGGGGAGCAGTGCCCCTTTGCTGGAGGTGGAGGTGGAGGGCGCAGGTACACAGGTGTTTGATTCTCATGTGGTGGGTCGACATCATAACCTGCAGAGGTCCAGGGGCATAGAGATGTGGCGGCCCTGAGAGAGGGGTTGGCTCTGCTCAGTCACGATGGGGAGGGCTTCACGGAGGAGGTGATTTTTCTTAAAGAATGGGTAGTGGAACTTCCTGGTAGTCCGGTGGTTAAGACTTCGCTTTCCAATGCAGGGGGTGCGGGTTGAATACCTGGTCGGGGAGCTAAATTCCCACATGCCTCAGGGCCAAAAAACCAAAGCATTAAAAAAACAGAACCAATATTGTTGCAAATTCGATAAAGACTTTAAAAATGGTCCACATCCAAAAAAAAAAAAATCTTAAAAAAGAAAGAAAGGATAGGGACTGGCTTCAAAGAGAAAATGGGAAAGGACCTTCTAGGCAAAAGGCAGGGACCTACCAGGGTGGCAGTAACTAAAGGAGGCACAGGGAGGGAATCCCTGCAGCGTGCTGAATGCCAGGATGTAAATAAGCAGGGGTGACTGTCTTAGACGGGGAAGAAATCACCAACCCATCATCTGGACTCTTCATCGGGTGAAGAGAGAGGATGTTGGTCTAATGTAAAGAGTGTGGGGCCCGGAATGTGACAGGCCTGAGTTCCAGTCCAGGTTTTACCACTTAGCTGCCCAGGTTGGGCTGGGCAGTTAACATCCCTGAGCCTCAGTTTCCTCATCTGTACAATGGGATCATGGTGGCGCTGGGGTTTCTGTAAAGATCAGCTGTGACAGTGCTTTGCAAGCTGTCAGTAGCTCTGCAAACTCGAGGTCCTCTTGAGATAGCACCTCAGCAGTAGCCCACTTCTGCATGGACCTTTTGGGGTGCCATTTCCTGGGGAATTGCCACAGAAGGTTGCTCTCACCCAGGCAGGCTAGTGTTTTTGACTTTCACCATACTTTCTGTGGGGTCACTTTTTGGGGGATCAGCCGCTGCCTGCCCATGGTCTCAGGGGCCTGCTGTGGAGAGCTTGGAGGCAAGGGGACGGGAAGCCTGAATCTAGAACTGGAGCACGTTCTAGTGTTACTTCTGGTCTTCCGGCCATGAGTGCTGGGACAATGAGGCATGAGAGGGTAGGGCCAGTGTACCCACAGCGGGACAGGGACCCTGTGGCAATGGGGCACCAGGTGAGTGAAACCAGGAGTGGGTTAGAGCCATAGTGGAACCGTGAGGATGTGGAGGAAAGGATAGAGTGAGAAACAGATGAGAGACGCAGGCAGAGCGCCTCTTGCTCCTCCCCTACCCCACCCCTTAGTCTCAGCATCCTCAGCTTTGGGGCTGCCTCTGGGAAGGAAGGAAAGGGCCTGTTTAGCTTGAGTGCCTGTTGACGCCTCTTCTCATGCCGCCTGCCCCATGGTGTACTATGGTAGCCAGTTCAGTTCCCTCTGACCCCCCCCGTTCACCCTGCCTCAACCTGGGCAGTATCCCTGGTGGTCCGTGACTCACCAGTTCTTTGCCATGGGTAGGGCCCCAGCTGGCTACTGAGTTCAGATCCCCCCAGGGCTGAGGCATGCCCAGAGCCAGGCGAGCCTCAGCCCCAGGCCTGGCTCCTGCACCCTCTCTAAGCCCCTCATCTGTTCCGGTGGCCCTTGAGGCCCCTCCGTCAGCCACGCAGTGGCGCCAGGGCAGGGTCGTGCCCAGGGACTCAGCCTGGCCCTCTTCCTGGCACTGAGTAGGTGCTGTAAACACTTGTTGAATGGAATTCTTGCCTCTGGTTGGGATTTTCCACGGGAGCTACATAGCTGTTCCCAGCTCTGCCGTGGGCCTGACCCGCTTCTGCGTCTGCCTACACACATGCCAGGCCTTCTCTTCCATACCACACCCTGTCCCTCCTCAGACACCCCTGCAGATTGCTCCCCCAAACCTCCGTCTCCCAGAGGTCCTCTCCTTCCCCACCAGCCCCAGCCTCCCCATGGGCCCCTCGATGGCCTGGGAGCGCTGGAGCCTGCACCTGCAGGTGCTTGGTGGTCTCTGCCTTCCATTCCTTCGTTGTTTGTCTTTCCTCCCTGCATGCCTCGGTGGTGTGACCAAGGAGAACAGGCCCTGGCACAGAATCTATCGTGGAGTTTTGTGTGTGCCCGTGTGTGATAGAAGGGCAGAGGGCCAGCGTCGGGCTGAGACGTGAGACCAAGACTTTGGTGTGGGGAGGAAAAGGTTCCTTCATAGGCCGGGTGACCACACATCCTGGTTGCCCAGGGCAGGTCTGGCTCAGGCCTGCTGCCCTGGACTAATTATTTAATACCACCGTAGGTTCTACAGCCACCCTAATCAGAGGGGCTGCTATGGAATCAGGGCATGGGAACTGAGCCCCTGTCATGCCTCCAGGACCCAGCAGGTTCACACATCTCCCCTCTTGAAGACCATACTGAGCCTTCAGACTCACCACCCAGGGGAGCACCACCCTCCTGACTGAACCAGGGTTTCAAGACAGAGGCACATTCACCAGGCACACAGTAACAGGACAGGCCATGGTTCAACGGCAGTGTGAATTGCAAGGGGATGTGTGACAAGTGTATGAGCCTCAAAGAAGGTCAGGTAAGAAAGGAAGAGAGCTTTGCAAGTCCTGAAGTTCCATATTCGTAATAACAGGTACTTAACTCTATCACCAAACCACACCATGACAGGGAGCATATCATTATCTCCATCTTATAGATGCAGAACTGAGGCACAGAGAGGTTAAGTGACTTACCGGAGGTCACACAGCTAGTAAGCCAGGTTTCAAACACCAGAGCCATGTTTTTATCCACTATGTTATAGTACCTCACATCCGATGCTTCAGTAATATCTACCACAGGGATTTTGTGAAGGCAAAATAAGGCAAAATGTGTGTTTGCTTTTAAACTAGAAACACTTTTACACACATTAATGAATTGTAAAGTATTTCGGAAATAGCTAACTTGTGACAAACTGTGGAGATACAGTAGAACATAAAAGTATATGCAAACTTCTCCCAAATCCATTGTCTCAAAACTAACCGTAAAGTAAGATTATGAATTTTTGCCTTTCTTTCCCTCCTTTTCAGATGAATCAATTATAATAGAATTGCTTTGATGGTCAGTTTTAGTCATTTACTTTTATGATCAGTATCACCATCAACGCCGGTCGACTCTTATTCTAAAGTGTCTCTTAGCTGGAGCCCCCCTTCCTGTTTTCTAGGGTGTCATCCACCACGGAACCATCTTCACGTCATAGCTAACTTACTACAAGAGCTTCCCAGCCGGCGCTCTGCTTCTGGTTATTCTTGTCTCACATCCACCCTTCCCCCAGCTGCTTGAAAATTCAGCATGGATTTTACCATTCCCCAGAAGGGCCTACGTTATAGCCAGTGAGATAAGGCAGAACATATAGAAAGTAGGATAATGAAAAGAGAACTGGCCAGTTTTTCATTATTTACTGATGATACAATTGCAGACCTAGAAAACCTGAGAGAATTCACTGAAAGGCAAATATTTTAGGTGGCTAAAGACTAACAGTGGACACTTTTGTAGAACATGCCCTGTACCAGGCCCCATTCTAAGTGCCCTACACGCATTTCCTGGGAGCAGGGGACCAGTATCCTCATTTTGTTGACAAGGAAACTAAGACAGGGAAGTTCAGTGGTTTGCCCCAAACTCAGGTGGTTTGGTCCCTGGGTCTCCTTTCTTGGCTACTCTGCCATTAACAGCTTTCCTATGTACCAGCAATTACTTCATATAAGACGTATTAGGAGGGCAAGGTATAGACATAATAGCCACCAGAGGTGCTGGCGTCTCCCACTTCGGTGCCTCACTTTGTCACCTGTGTCCCATAGCAGCTGTGTTTGTGCCCAGAGTCTCACACAGCCTCTCACAAGATAGTCATCAGCTTCTGGCCCATATGGCCACTACCACCAGGGCCCCCAGGGAGCAAAAGGACAGGAGAACTGCCATAGCCATTCATCAGCATTGTCCCTTCCTTAGTGAGAACACATTTGTCTACAGCAGCCTTGTTCGTAAAGTTGCAACTCTGCCTTCAATAGACACAGTCAGAATCTTCTTGAAATCATAGTTCCATTTCAAGAGAGGCCCTTAGGTAGTTAACAGGCCCATCTGGGGAGTTCCTCTGGAACAAAAAGAGAGCGTGCCCTAAATGAGTATTGCAGCCTCCACTGCTTATCAGAAAGCAATGCCTTGCAGCTATGCTGGCCGGG